AGGTCGCGACCAGAGTCGTGGAACGAATTAAGTTCGTGAACCAAGGTACCACTGTACAGTATTCTAGATGTACAGTAGACTTGAATAAGGGCATTATAGTGTTGGTAGTCTTAATTTCAATCCCTTTCCAAATGCTCTTTAATATGGCATTTGCCTTTTTTACAGTGATTGCACATTGACTCAGCTGACTGCTATGACCCTACACACACACACACACACACACACACACACCCCATGACTGAATTCTAATAAAGTATATTGTGAATATTTATTTTTGTTTATTTGTTTATTTATTAAATTTATATACTGCTCAATTCCAATAACTCTAGGTAGTTCACAAGTAAAAAATTAAATTAAAAGTTAAAAATTTTAAAAAATACTTTGTTTATGAAATGGGATTGATTTTATATTTATATGCTGCTTAAGTTTATAGTATTTGTTTTTTTCTGAAGCAACACAAAAACTCCAAAGATTTTCAGGGTGCAGGTTCCTACCTGTTCACTCTGTATCTGTAATGGCTAGCTTCACACAATGAAAAAATAAAACAAACCAATGTTGGCCTCTTTCTGATGATATGCATTGATGCTGATATCCCCTCTCAGTTATAGAAGAAATATCCATCCAGACTCCACAAGGCCTTTAGATTTTGGCAAGTGGCCATCTTAATCAAACTTGGCTTTCAGCCAGTGATTTCAGTTACCTTCATCCAGCCTTTTTTCTGTTGTTCTCTTGAGCAGAAAATTGTAAAGTAGAACATTTCCAGGATATTAATCCATTTGGTTCCTAAGTGACTCTATTGGCAAAAAAGTAGCAACACTTTTGCAATTCAGCTCTGCATGTGTATGAGAAGCTCCTGGCTTTTATTTTTTCTTCTTTTCTTGGTTTTGAGCACAAGCTCAGTATAAACAGATTAGCATTTCTGCTTGAGAAAATTAAAAAGTTGAAATGCCTTTTGACAGCAAATGAAATTTTAAAAGGGGCAAATTTACCTTATAAAAAACAGATCATTAATTTGTACATTCATCTATTTCAGACTCACATTCAGTGTGTTTTATACTTTGCAATTTATTTGTGAACATTCTCTGATCATTTTAGAATCCACATCAGATCATTGGACAGGCAGTGTATTGGACAAAATGTAACAGTGCTCCCCGCACCCTGGCTATTTTTGTCTTACGTTTTTCTTCCTTTCCTATTACAGGAAAGCCTTTTTTAAAAATACTGAAAATATCCATGTTTACCTTGACTTATACATCTTCACCTCTTGTGATTTTCTTTGAGGGACTCCTTGTTTCCATCTTCATTGTATGTATGGTTGCATATGCTATTTCAGTTAAGATTGTACTTGTATCTCAAAGATTTCCCTTTCCATAGAAGTGCTAAGCTTTTTGTTTGTGTTTTGTATTTTTCATCATAATCATTGATGTGTAAATGAATGCCATTTTGTCTTCTTCAGAATGATTATGTTTATTAATTCAAAGAAGGAAAAATAATATATGAAACTCTACACAAAAAATCTAGTTGCCAAGGGCTGGAAGTAGATATCTCCTGCCATTTTTTAAAATCACAGGGGTGAGAACTCGATTGCTTTTAAGAACCGGCTGAACATTATTCTCCAGTACTAACCAGGCAGTCACTTCCACTGATGTAAGAGGTTGGATTTTCCCCTTTCCCCTTCATTTGGATAGCATTCATGGTGGAGAAACATTCGTCCTGAATACCCAATCCTTCCCCAGTTTGCAAATGTCTCTTTTCAGCCCCTTTGGCATGTAAATGATAGGCTGCTCCAATCTTTCCTCCCCTTTATTTTTTTTAATGTATTTTTCTCAGTCTGCTTTAAAATTGGATCTTTTTGTATGCTCAAGGAGACTGCAGTCTCTTTCAGGAGTAACATCAGCTATCTGCAGATGGAAAGAATGCTATGCATTTGGCCATAAATGATGAGCAAATTAATTGCATGTATGGGAAAGGGTGAGTTTATCTTTAGTGCCAGGAACAAGTTGTATGATGGTTCCTTTTAGGTGAAATGGGATTTAGATCCAGTTTCGAACTGAAAAGTATCCTAATCCATTAGTTTTAAAGCCACCCTGGATTGTGGATTTTAACCCTTGCAGCAGAAATCTTAAACAATCATT